ATGGCATAGATTAAATAGCAATAACATTATGCAAAATAAACTGACGCAGTTCATGGTTGCATAAACAGCAGCTTTATATACGTGACTCTGTTTGCATTGGATACAGGGTGCATTTGCATGCATGCATGCATGAGCATTTTACAGCAGCTAACCAATGCACAGGAACTGAGCTAAATCAGACAAGTTTGATAACTTTGAAGAGTGGCTGAGCAGACATTTGCAATTGTCCATCAACTGAATGACAAACTTTAGCACTTCGTCAGCTGAAAAGCACCAGGCCTTAAACACTGTACCCACAAGAAAACAGCCACCTACTCCTCAACTACAAGACAAAAGGACAGATCGCCAACACCTATTGTTTGAAAAACTGTATAAAATGTGCAGGCCCTAACAGAAAAACACTGCAAAATGTACCAATGTCAAGAAACAAATAATCATGGATTAAGCAAGGCTGGGGAAATGGATGTGGGTATCAAGCTGTATAATTTGCTGAGAGAGGTAGAAAGGGATGAATAGGCCTGAATGTTATTCAGGAAAGGGAGTAGGTGGTGACTTAGCAAATAGTGAGAAGAGAGAACATCAATTTTAGATTTGTATCTAAACAGATTTTAGATTTGTATTTAGAATAAAACAAATAAAATATTACAAGGATTCCCTGTAAGCATAAGCACATGATCAATGTCAAAAAAACGCAACGTCACGCTGAAAGGAAGAGGCTGTGGTTATCAAAGTCTTGCACATCAGACACGTGATGTGGTTTTTAGTTGTTTGTTTAGCCTGCATGTTACCAAACACGGATTTGAATATGACTGCACCAGTCCTTTTGCTTGGCAAAACGAAACCATGACAGACTGTGTATGGCAAGCTGTTTAAGCAATTATTAGTATCTATTTTTGTGTTACTAGTCATTTTTATACTAACAATTAGGCCAATAGTGACTTTTTCCCAATTTCACTATAATTATTTCACTATTCATTAGATACTAGTACTTATTTATTAGACCGTACTAGTACTTATCCCAATAGTGAAAATCTACTCTGCCAGGGGTCTCCAAACTCAGTCCTGGAGGGCCGTGTCCTGCAGAGTTTAGCTCCAACTTGCCTCAACACACCTGCCTGGAAGTTTCTAGCATGCCTAGTAAGACCTTAATTAGCTGGTTCAGGTGTGTTCAATTAGATGTTTAATGACACTCCTGTACTATAGACCAATTTGAAATAGACGGCACAGTTACATCACATGCAACTGCGCACGCATTGCGGTGGCAGAAAAACACTGGGATCAAGTGGAGGGAAACGGGTAAAATCCATGGAATAAGAGAAAAAAAATGTATTGTTGTGCCTTTGGATATCAGAATCGGAATGCAAATAATAAACGCAGACGTTTAAACGGACAGACTATGGATGAAAACTGCTATGATTACCCTACTTTTAAAGCATACATTTGATTTAAACAATAGGTCTACATAATATTCACATTATGCAGTTCATAGGGGACGTATTGTATTAACTTAGCCCTACAGTTACAGCATGAAATATTATTTAAACCTATTACTATTAACATTTTACATAACATTTATTTACTTTCTCACAATTCTGTCATTTTCTCGCAAATGCAAGTTTATATCTCCTAATTCTGACTTTATAACTCGATTTAACTCAAAAATAGTGAGTTTGTCAATTCTGAGGGAAAAAAAGGCAGAAGTGTGGGATATATATTCTGAGCCGAGGGGAAAAGAGAGAATGACGAGTTGTTTTTCCTTATCAGTATTGTGAGATATAATCTCGGAATTGCGAGAATAAAGTCAGATTTTTGAAAAGTTTTTAAACTTTTTTTTAATTATTTTATTCTTCTCTAGCCGTAAAGGCCATCTCTCCCGGGTTTTCTGCAACCATAATGCGCAGGCATCTCGAATATTTACAAACCTATAATTAGCCTATATATTCCAGTTCCTTCTGGTGCCTCGACCAGTTTTATTCAATATTTACTAGTATTATTACTAGGGATGCACCGATACCGATACTGGTATCGGTATCGGGCCCGATACTGAGCTCCTGCACTCGTACTCGTACTCGTTAAAATGCCCCGATACCAAACGCCGATACCACACAGCATGTGTTAAGTGCCATATTCAGACAATGAAACACCAACAACTTGTGTAAATACTGTCATACTAACAGCGGTCTAATTTTTGGTTGATTGTAATCCATAACATACCTTTCTATCAAAGTTATCTGACATTATCAAGCTGAATTTGTTCTGACTCCGTTTAACTCTGAGTTCTTGTTATATTTTATTACCATTTTCTAAACTATAGCGAATAAACTGTGATAATGTGAGAAATGTTGAAGGTGTCTGAATAAATTTTGGTTTGACTATCTATTTGATAAATGAAGTTAACCAACTAACATTATACATACTATTTTGGTTTCTGTACCCAATATTTTAAAAATGTACAAATGCAATATAAATATTGGTATCTGTACTCGGTATCGGCAAGTACAAAAATATAAAAGTATCGGTATCGGGAAAGTACTGGAAAAAGTAGTATCGGTGCATCCCTAATTATTACCAATAGGTATCAGTATCTCCAGCTTCACTAATATTTATTTATTGGATACTAGTCTCAGCATCCTTGCCCATTGTTACTATTAACATTTCTAAATAAGTATGTACTAGTATCTACACTGAAAAAAGTTTTTCAAGCAGTACTTCATCCAATTAATAATTTGTCTTTCAATTAAATTTACCATTATTTGTTTTATTTTTCAAGTAATATTTTTTTAGTTCAAAACATTGATAAATATAAATATTTTTCATTAAGAGCTCAACTAAGACATATTTGGCTGTTGTTTGAAAGAGTAAGTTTAAATGAATTAACGGTATAAATACAAAAACGGATGAATTTACTTCTGTTCTATCTAGGTTCAGAGCCCTCTTAACGACTATCTTGTTTTGGAAGGAAGAAGAAATGGAAGAGATGCTTTGGAAGTGTAAGTATGGCCCTCATAACTGTGATAAGAGAGCACAGCTAACTTTATATAAACATTATCCCCCGGATTCACAGGCCAGTCTCAAGACTAAAATGCATGTTCAAGCTGTCTTAACTGAAAATATCTTGTACTGACACATCTTAAAATATGTCAGTGCCATTGTCATGTCTCAAGATGCACACCAGTAAAGTTCTTAAGAACTAAAGTTATTTTTATAAAAGTTATTTAAATATCCTAATTTAACCAAGGCCTAGTCCTGGTATGCCACCTCATAGCAAAACTCCAGATCAGCTGTATGTCATGTGGGTTAACTGAGACCTGTTCGAGGAGGATCACTTTATTAACTGGCACACTGCACAATTAAATGTAAACCCTTAAGTCAGATGCCCTTTAATGTTTGCTCTTCACAGAAAAGTTGTCAACGACAAGCCTGGCATCACCCAAAGGCCAGCTCTTTTTATAGTAAACCAGGTATGTATAAGTGCATTCATCCCATGTTGTATTTGCCATAATTACAAGATTCAAACTTGGAAAAAGAATTCATGTCCTTGTAGAACTCATAATTACCATCTGTAATCCGGGAATTTTCTGAGAGCTTCTATTTGTACCACATGACTGCACCTGACTGCTGCAGAATAATTTAGGCATGATAGTGTTGCCATAGAAACGCACAGATCCCGGTCCAAGGACATGAACAGCTCTAAGTAGAACATGGTGTGAACGCAGCATCTTGAGTATTTGACAACAGCATTAACTGACTTGATAATGTCTTTGTCGATCTGTTTCTTCCTCTGTTAGGATGCAGCTGACAAGACAGACTCCAGTAAGAATCCTCAGCGTTGATCAAGCAAGTCCACATCTAACCCATCTAGAAACAGAAAATTGCATGAATGTTCCTTTATTTGTTTGCTTTTTTCTTAATTTTCTAGTTTAACAAATTGGAAAAATAAAACAACTGATATAGATTTAACTTGGAAATTACGCTGAAAAAAAAATGTTTCATTCATCCAATTAAACAAATTTAGGGTAATGATCTATATAATCTATATTTTTTAACTTGAGCCAATGAAAAATAAATAACTTGCCCTATACAATATGTTCTGTCTATAAAAACTATAAAAATAAATTTCTTATGAGAATTTTTGTTTTGATTAAATCTATATTTTTTTGTTTGGATCAAAAATAGAATTTAAATTAATTGACTTTCTTCAACAAGAAAAATATACTTTGTGCCAGGTTTTATAAAATAGTTTTCATAGACAGAGAAAATATTGTTTAGGGCAAGTTATTTATTTTTCATCGGCTCAAGTTAGTTGGTCTCGTACTGTATCGCGTACCTTGTCAGTGTCGTGCGCTTTGCTTGGCCATCTGTTGTGATAAGGAAAGTGTGTTCAGCTGAATTCAATTTGAGTTTTGTTAAACGAATAAAAAAAAGCTTAGTTTACCGCGGAAGCGTGGTAAGACCGAAGAGTGTAAAGACCATCGACTCTACCGTGCGACTCCACCGGGCAGGGACACCAGCAAGGGACAAAAGTATCGCCTTTGATTCGTCCTCTTTTCTGATTTTATTACATCTATTTCTAGTCATTCAAGACTAAACCTAGGCCCTGACAGAGACGTGGATCAAACCAGAGGACATGGTTCATTTGTGTGGAAAAATAAGTATATCCCCTAAATATACATTTCATAAAGTGGTTCTCAACTAGGGGACATCAACAAACTTCCAAGGGGCCACAAAATGAAATAAAATTGGTCAATAAAAGTTAAATTAAAAGTAAAGTTAAATTAAAATAATATAATACTAATATATAATTAAAATGGTTGAAGAACCACTGCCCTAAAAATATTTTGATAGTTCAAGTCTTAATGATTGTTAAAGTTTCTTAAGCCAAGACACATACAAATTGCATAGATGTTCTCTACATGTTTAATAAATGTTTTCACCACATATTTACAAACAAGAAGCTGACACCTGAATTTAAACTGATCAGAAAAAAAGTTAATGGCAGCACTAATCTGGGATTTCCACAATGGCGATAATCTTCAAAGCATGTGATGATGGTGTAATTAGCTTGTCATGTGAAATCCACCATTTCTATTTGATCTGGGAGATTCCAATGACCGTCTACCTGCCTCGTGATCTCTCCACGAATCTCACACTTCACACCTTAGTGGCAATTCCTAAAAAGATCCAATCCGCTTTTGCTGATAGTCCCATACGCCTGAGAATAGCTGCCTAGTTTGGCGCGAGGATCACCGGCTGCAGAAACATTCGAATTACTCTGGAACACCTTCTTGCTGAACTTTGAAGGAAGCTTGGCATCACGTGAATGCAAATTAGACCGCTGGTTCTGTACAGTGGGATATTAAGATATCATTAGGAGGAAAAACATATCAGACATATCATTCATTTAAAAAAATGATCTAAGATACAAAAAGATTTTAGCATAAAAAAGGAAGAATGCACACACTAGAACAGATGGCATTCTCAAAATGGCACTGCGTTCTATCTTGTGACATAAACAGCATCAACCAATAGATTGTGTTGGCAGATTGATTGTTCCCAGGTCAGAGTACACAAGAGTTACCCCCCCAAAAAACAAAAGGCCACTCACCAAGCGAGCAGAGGTGACACATAACCCAGGAGAAACAATGTGTTCATCCTTGCAAAGCAGGGGATTATTTGGGGTCTGTGCTAGTGTGAGAGAGAAAGAGCTTGTGCGTGCCACAGGGGTGGAACGACCTCGCTGGTCTACACCCTGAGGGAAAGAATGAACAAATGAAACATTTTGTGGACATTGAAGATGTTACCAAAAAAATTGCACCATATTACCATTTAAAATGTCTTCAAATGTTAAATAGACAACAGCTCTTATATAAAATGAAATGTCATTCGAGACAGTAGGACGTACCACAGACCCATTAGCACCATCTGTTGGCAGTACACCTCCAGTATCTTGATTCCTCCTCCCAATCCGCTGAGGATGAGATGTGTAGTGGTGCGGTTTGACTAAACCATCTGGAAAATAAATGGATGATACCTTTTATGGCTATTTAATGAGTAACATACTAACATTCCAAAGTTTGTGGTCTGTAAGATTTTTTACATGATTTTGATGCTCACCAAGGCTGCATTTATTTGATCACAAATACAGTAAAAACAGTAATATTGTGAAATATTTTTACAAATTAAAATAACTGTTTTCTAATTTAATATATTTTAACATGTAACTTATAAAAGCTGAATTTTCAGCAGCCATTACTCCAGTGTCACATGATCCTTTAGAAATCATTCTAATATGCTGATTTATTGTTAAAAAAAAAACATTTATTTTTATTATCAATGTAAAAAAAAAAAATTATTGTGCTGCTTATATTTGTATGGGAAAAAGTAAAACATTTTTCCAGAATTCTTTGATGAAGAGAAAGTTCAAAAGAACAGCATTTATTTGAAATAAAAAACAAAAATCTTTTGTAACATTAGAAATGCTTTTATTGTCGCTTTTGATCCATTTAATGCACCCCTGCAGAATGAAAGTATTATTTTCTTTAAAAAAAAAACGTACTCCAAACTATTGTATATTCCAAGTAGTATAGCTGTAGAATATTCTTCAGTAGTGTATATTGTATAATATCATAAAGGTTTAAACCAGGACCTTCAGTGACCAAACCCATATGTGCATTGCAGATAATTGAATGTATAAGTGTGGTAATTGAATGTTATTGTACAACCACTATTAAACAGCACTCACTAGGCATATGTGTGATGGGGTTATAAGAGGTTATGACCGCACTGGGGCTCACTGCTGGGCTGGTGCTTTCAGGAGCTGAGTGTGTTTGCTCAGGCCTACTGAGAGGTTTTGCAACAGCTGCTCCAGTTCCATTAGAGCTCTTCTTGTCATTAGGAGATTTCCTGTCATGATCTCCATCCACACCATGCTTTCCTTCTCCTTGAGAGCCAGCACTTGTTTCATTGCTTTTGTCCATTTCACTGTCCCCATTCCCTTCTGCAGTCTTCTCCTCTGATTTCTGTCTGAAATGAGATTGTTTATGCATTTGCCGACTAGCCCTTTTTTCCAGGATCATCTTTTACAGGAGAAATTGGAAAGATGAAGAGGAAAGTAGTTTTTAAGCATTTGCTAACATATTATTACTATAAAAGCACTACCATACAAAAGTTGGGGTCGATAAAAATTTTCTAATATTTTTAATGGTTTTTAAGAATGCATTTATTTAATCAAAAATACAGTAAAATGTAATATTGCAAAATATTATTACAATGTAAAATAACTGTTTCTATTTGAATATATTTTAAAATGTTATTTAATCCTGCGATGGCAAAGCTGAATTCCCAGCAGCTATTACTCCAGTCCTCAGTGTCACATGACCCTTCAGAAGTCTTTCTAATACAATAAAAGTGTTCCTGTGGCTCAGTGGTAGAGCATTGCATTAGCAGTGCAAAAGGTCATGGGTTCGATTCTCAGGGAACACACATACTGGTAAAGAAATGTATAGCCTGAATGCACTGTAAGTTGCTTTGGATAAAAGCATCTGCTAAATGTGTAAATTAAACTAAAAGTTTGAAACGCTTTTGTAACATTACCAATGTCTTTACTGTCATTTTAGATAAATCTGATGCATCCTTGCTGAATTTTTTTATTATTATTATTTTCTTTAAAAAATCATACTGACCCCAACCTTTTGAACTTCAGTGACGATTAATTATGCTCAGTCAATGTGATAAGTTTTCAGAAGGAAAGATTTCTGTCACTGTGACACAGCATTTGTTAACATAACACAGAAATCATATGACTGTGTACACTCACAACATTATGACTGCTTGAGGCAAAGCATGAGACAAAGGTCAAAATGAATCTGTGAAAAATGAGAAAATAATGAATGAAAAGTTTCCACTCACCTCATAGAGTTTGTTTCGGTACTGAGTAACAGAAATTTGGATGTCATCATCCACTGGCAAAATGACATCATAGACCAAGCTAGGCTCTCTGGCTGGGTTGTGAAATCTTGCATGACATATGGAAAGAAGATGGATATTTTTAGATGTTATTATTCATTAATAACAACAATAATTCTAAAACTCAAGCCACGTATCATTATGACTTACAGTAAGCATGAAACACCAATTTCACTTTCGTAATGAGATATTTAATTACAAGTGAAAAAGAGAAGGTTGAGACATGATTTGTATCAATCTGGATTTTACTCATTTTAATACCTTGATGAAGAACATGTTGATTAATAAATATGTTTGCATTTGTAAGATGAGTTGTGCGGTTATATTTTTAATATACTGCAATTGTGCCATGACATGCATCTCAGAAATAGAATAAAATAATTTTAAAAAGAGTTGATTACTTAAACTGCTTTTATTAAAGTTAACTGCCATTATTAGAATAAAGAATAAACATAAAATAATTAAAAACTAAATAAAAACTGGCATAAAATAATGCCTCAATACTGTAGCCAGTTATTAGTTAACATTAAAATCTCTGGTTAACATTCATTAAAAGCCATTCATCAATAACTCATATTTTGATTTCTTTTAAATATAGTGCACTGATGATCATATGCAATACATCAAGGACTGTGTATTAGGAACGTAAACAGGGTCAATTTTGATTTCATGTTGACTTACATTGGGGGTCATAGGATGCCCATTATCCACAAGTTGATATGATTCTTTAGGATCTTAATGAAAAGTCTGTAATATACAACGGCTCAGATGTTGGGAGTAAATGAGGACTGTAAATGAAACAATGGCGGACTGATGACAGCTCACTGAGAGCTGGTCTAAGGTAAGACACCAGTCCAGTCTGTGCTGAAACGCTACTGTCAATCAACTATCGTGGGAGGGG